AGCTACCACCACAGTGTCTCGTTGATCAGCTATTTGTAGATGGAAGTATTTCCTTACGAAGACTAATTAGTCTTTTCGGCGGCCGGAAAGGAATAATGAGGTCCATACTCGTAATTGACGTGACTTGCTGTAAACGCGGGGGCATGAGTCGCAGCAACATCCCGTTTGCACTCATTGCTTCCGGACATCTACACGATCTTCGTTTATCGGGCGGTGTTGCAGCCAGAGACAATCCTGCGTTGCGCAGTTTGCAACGGCACGTCGAGAGATCCTCAACGCCACGCTGTATGGGCGAACACAGTCGCTCGCGCATGCGAGTGTGAATGCTCGCGCGAGAGACGTGTCTAATCGGGCGAAACTGCGCAACGTGGCCGTTGAAAAACTGCGCAAGCAGTGTTGACTCTGGTTGGCAGCAGTGCGTACCGCTCCAATTACGCCATAAGAAAAACCGAATGAATGTGGCTGAGACGGCCCTTCTTTTTCGCACCGTATGCCTTTTCGGCAAACGTGAGCTAATTTGGATTGGTGAGGGAGAGTTGCCTTATGAGAATCACACACGTAAGCGTACTGGATCAAGCAATGAGAAGGTTTGGCGTTTCTCCTCGATGGCCGGACGTTGTGCAGACTCCTGTTAAAGAGATCCTGCGCGGAAAAATTCTTCGCACTCTTTCCTAACATGAATATGTCACGTCTGTGAATCACGGGAAATGCACCAAAGTTTACGCCACGAAGTTTCGGTTTCTGAAGGAGAAACAAACGTACACAAAACTATACGTTAATGGCCATCGAAGGACCAGGAGGCCAGAGCGGGCGAGGCGTTGGAAAAAGACGCGTTTGTCGGCCTACGGTACCAGGCGACCGCAAGGAGGGAATCGGGTTAAAGCGCCGCGATTCGGAGGAGTGGAGACAAAATCGATCGATGGAATAGGATGAGCGTAGAAGTGTGATGTGAATGCCACAAGCAGAACGCCAGAAAAGGCTCTAGGTGCACTCCAAGAACAAGTTTGAGCATCCCGTCGCCAAGCATTCGTGCAAGACGCTCGGGGCAATTCGAACGCGTAGCAGCCTTTGCGAGGTTTCGAAGTTCCTAATCAAAACTGAAAGCATTTTCAAGTTCTTTTCATCTATTATGTGATAATGAAGTCCTCAAGCCAGTGATTTATGGCTGAAGATAGATCATAATTTTTCCGGCGCAAGATATTCACATCTATCTTGAAATCCGAACACAGTTAGGTGCAAAAGCTCTCAAAGTGTGACAGGATTTCGTGATGCATGGTAAATTGAAAGGTGCCTTTAGGCACCACAGAGTGCTTGCATGTTCCACAACATTACATGAAGCCCTACTAGGGCCAACTGCCAGAACCTCCGAAAATACACTACGGTAACCAGACACCAAAAGAAAGAACTGTTCTCCATTCTGTCCAAAGGGACCAGGATTATGTTTCATAGTCGCTCGATGCTTCTTCGAACACTTCCTTTCCGAAGCTTGGTGCTTAGCCTTAGTTGTTCTGAATCACCTTCTGTCTCTCTACCGCTTCTGAGCCTATTCTTTTCGATCTATGTGGGTTGAGAAACGGAAGTGGAGAGCGTAGCTCCCACCATTCTGCTGTTGCGAAAGCTATTATTTAAGTGGAGAGTGTCTTTGGTCAATAATTTCGCACAGTTTCTTTAGCTCTTCGAGGCTTTCGCATTAGACACTTTCCGAAAGTGAAGGGAACGTCATTGACGGTGACCAGTCGTCGCTTCTGCATGGGCCGCGCCCACTGCTCACGTGGTTGGCTTCCCGACGCCACGTTCGCAGTGTTCCGGGCAAACTCGCTTAACCACTCCTTCGCTGGTCGCCAAGAAGCGCATGTCTGGCGGCCACTGCCTGGTGGACGCTCCTTCACTACGGCCCGATCTGAGACGTTGACTTTTCTTGTTGCAGTTTTAGCGGCGAGAAGAGAGATCGACAACGGCAGCGATGCGATCTAGAATAATTTCAAAAGGTATTTTAGGTTGATCTGAGCGGTCGATCTAACATAAGTCGCCAAAACCTCTATGAAATTTTGAGGCATTTCTTTGCTTAATTCTGTGTTTCTATAAAGACAATCTTTCAGCTCTTAGACACATGTAAAATACTAGAAGAGACACCCAAGCATGACGCGATAAACTGGCAATCTTATTCGTATTGCTGCTCTGCATTATGTCGCTGAAGTTTCGACGATTCCACTTGATCTCCCAAAAACTCAAAGCTTTATTTCTCGTGAAGCTTAGCTAATAGAGGGTATTCGATGCCATATAAGATACATTTTCGATGCTGGCGCCGATTGGCTCTGGAAGCCGCCACCTTGTCACGACGGCTGTTTTCACAAAATCGCTGTAAGCTTGCATATAGGGGTTATTTGATGTCCGGATTACGAATTTGAAGTTTATTCTGGCGTGGCTCCACTTGGCCCCTATTATGCGCGTCTGCGTCTTCTTACTGGTTTGGTCGCGTCTAGGACTAAGCCTTCAGAGGAGAGGAGGTTCAGAAGAGAGCAAGTCACTCACCCACTAAGCCTTCAGGGAGTGAAGGCTGAGAGATAAGCCTGACCTCACACCCTTTTCCTCTTGCCATACGATGGGCAATTTGCTCAAGGTAGCGTCCCTCTTCCCAACAAGCTTACCCTCGGGCGTAATCAGGACACCAAATAAGCCCAGTGCACAAGTTCATAGCGAATTTGGTGAACGTGACTGTCGTGGCAAAGTGGCGCCAGCTGACGCCAAATGATGCCAACGCCGAAAACGAATATCATATTTGTAACCAGGGCATCGAAATACTTCTACAGACAAAGTTTTGGCAAATCTAAAATTATAAGATTTTGGGGCAGTAGTAGTGGAATAGTGCCAAGTTCATTTCTACCTCTCACTCCTCTTGCAATTCCATAACGTGTACAATTTTATCCAGTGTTGCTCGACCCCTTGCATCTTCTGATTCTGGCTACTCGTATCAGGTCTGAGGCCTGAGTGTGAAATGAGTTAATGAGTCGAGTATGTGAGATCTGTTCGCGGTGGGAGGAGCGTCCTTTGCATGGACTGTGCTTATGGGAAAATTCGTAAGTCTGTTGGGAGAAAGCTTATTGAATAGAAAACATACCTCTCTAGGAGAGCTATGCTTACGGCGCCCTCAGCATATGCGAACCAAGCGAAGGGGCGCCTGCAACAGGCGGAGCGTGCTCCCGAATGAGCGCTACCAATGAAAGATCCTCATAATTCGGTTCCAAGTAGTCTCAAAAACCAGAAAAAAGAGACGAGAGGTCGGCGAAGGAGAGAAAGCCAACCGCGGTGAATAGGCGTGGAAGAAAGTGGGCGGAGTATGCACCGAAATATAACAACACGGCTGCGAAAGATTCCAGAAACAGGAAAAAGAATTGGACAGAGTCCAGAGACGGGAAGAGAGACGATAGTGGGTGTGGCGAGCACAGAAGTAGGCGGATTTCGCCAACAAGCGTGTAGCTCGAGTCAAAGAAGCTAAGGGAACGGGAGAAACGTGGGTAGAGGTCGACGAATAAAGCGAGGTCAAGCGCATTGTGTTGATGGGAGAAATGAGATGGGAGAAGTTTGTCACAAAGGAGTGTAGAAATGTAGATGGCTCTGTTTCATACCACTGCCGTCCGGGTTGGTGCACGAAAAGTCGTGCGCATCTAATGGGAATACATCTTTGTTGCCCGTGTTGAAAAGCAAAGCTGGAAGTGAATATTCAAACGGACAATGGACTGCCTCATTATCTTCTTCATCTCTTTATCAGAGCTGGTGGCCAGGATCTTTCGCTTCGAAGGAGGTGATCACCCTGAAGTGCGAGCCCTGACCGGCCTGCGAAGCTTAGAAGTGGACTGATGGATCTCCAACCGACTTTGTTCGGGAATCTTATAAGAGTCTGGAGGCCGGTGAGGACGGCCGTTCTTGTCACAACGTGAGTTTTTTTTGTTTGACCATTGCTTGGGTCACTTTCATTGTTCTAATGGCTCTGTGCGCTTCGCGAAATGCTTCTCTGTAACGAAAGAGAAGTTGGCTGAGAGACTCATGGAGAACCACTTGAACTTGTTGCATTATTCTCACAGTAACCCACACCTTTTCGCTGCGGTCTTCCGTCGGCCGCTGCTACAATTCTCGTGCATACCA